TAAATGGAGGGATAGTATGGCTCACATTGTCCGCACGTCTTAGTAATAATTTGTCGAAATCTTCAACACTTACTCCCCTATAAAATCCCGCCGTATGTGACATCACCTGACGGACTGTTATATTAACTGCCGATCCGTTGAATGTCTTAATCGGATAGAAATCTGTTGACAGATATTTATGGATCTCTGCGTTCAGATCAATGAGATTGCGATCCATGAGCTGACCGACCAGTGCTGATGTGACCGATTTGCTCATCGATCCGATTCGGAATACGGAGTCCTTATGTGTTGAGACATTATTCTCGATATCCGTATAACCGAAGCCTTCCGTCCATACAGTCGTGCCGTTTATACTGAACGCCATCACAGCTCCGGGTATTTGATTTGATTTCATGAATGCTTTCATCTCTTTTTTCGCATCTTTTATCACGTCATCGATTGTGTTGTACTTCGCGTTTGAATTCAAATCTTCAGTGAATCCATGGTTTACGATTTCATTGCAATCCCCAACAGTATCATAAACTTGCCCTGTACAATTATTAATCAAGACTAATAATAAAATTAACTTTATTTGAGCTGCCATTTCTAAACTTTATATTTGAGCTTTAATGAAATTAATTTTATTATTGAAAACTTCGTCCAATTGTGTGCTATTATATAAAATAATTTTAAATTATGATTTCACTTTCAATGTGTAAACATAATAATATCATCCATGATTTAAATGTATGAACAAAATACAGTATAATATTTATTGTAAAAATACATTTGATAAACAAGTACAGTACATTGGGGACACTGTATCTGTATATTATTTATCAAAAATCAATAGATGATATAAACTTAATAAATAAATGGTACAATCAATGCTTTATTATAACATATGATTCACACTTATTATTAACATTAAACAATTGTTATACAATTAAAGATTTGATAAAAAGTTTGCGAAGTGAGATCAAGTTATAATTCAGTACTTTAGGGACATCCTATTACAACCATAATTATTATAAGTAATTAAAACCTGTACAATATGTCAATTTATTTTCTAGACTTTAAATTATCATGATGATTTACAAAAATTTATATTTCATATATTACGTTATATTAATCTATACGGTACATGATTTCTATGTAAAGTATAGAAACAATGGATTTTATTTAAAGTACAAAACTACTTTGTTATTATTTTAATTCAATGTTTAATTGTACAGGGTGGACAAAAATAAAACTTTAATTTAATATCAAATATATAAATATAAAAACATGTTTATTCGTGAAGCTATTAAAGTGAAAAGGGTTTATAAAACAGAAAATCACTGTTAAATGCAATCAAAGATCGGCGGAAAAGATATAATAAATATTTTTAATTGTTTTGAAATCAAAGTAACAAAGTTTTGGCAACTGATTCACTCCATCCAAAACTCTGGGCGTTAGCACACAAATAGCCTTAAATACAAACACTTGGAGTTGCGGTAAATGTGTGTCCATTGAGTGAAAGTAACTCTCAGTCAACACACAGTTCGGTAGCTCTAGTGTTAAATGTGTTAATCGTTTCAAATGAGGCACCGATAGGCTGGACATGACTCGCAAATACTGTTGTTTCTCTAAATCACTTTCGGGAAGTCTTTCCCGAAAACTCAATACTAAGTGTAGTTTACGTAAACATTTCATACGGTTAACCGATTAAATACGGTTAACTTTTTGACCGAGGTAATTCAGCTTCACTTATAATCACTTTATCATTTTCATTATTTTGCTCAGTGACATTACCTGAACCTTTTATTATTTTGTCAATAAGGTCATTGCACATTTGCTCAATATCATTACTTTTTGAGTTAATTAAGCTTGTTTGAGTTTCATCAATATTAGCAGTTACATTATCATGTTCAATTATACTACTACGGAATACACCTAGCTTACAATAATCATAGATTGGCTTGGTAAATAAATGACTGCGTACAATATGCTCGTATTTATTAACTTTATCATTTGCACAATCATCGCAGTGTGTGTATCATCAAGGTGATTTTTGAATATTTCGGGCTTAATACCACGATAACCCGGTGAAAATAAGTAACATCCAGTATATGAGTTTGACCTTCCCTAGATACAAAGCATATTATATAACGACCTTGATCATTGTTTTCCATATTGGCTATGAATTTATTAAGATTTTCATCAGGGTCACCATCAATATTTTCATAAACTAAGGTAAAGTATATATGATATGTTTGTTTTAAAAGTTTGCCCATGTACATTAGAAAATCCCGCGGTGTATCATTATTATTAGGTTCGGTAGTATTGTAATTATATTGATTATTAAGCAAGGTATTTAATAATGTAGTTTTCCCTGAACCGGTACGTCCAACCAATATTACATTAATAATTTGTGGATCCATATGTATCAATGTATTAAAAATAAATAAAATGTTTTTATAAACATATAATTTAAACTTCAATTAATTAATAAGTTTATTAAAGGTAAAACATATAACAACATATTTTTAGTAATTCATATTAATAAAAATTATATAAATGTGTGATAAAACTACTCAAAAATAGTATTATATATTGAATAATTTACACCTAGCAACGAATTATCAATATAACATGGAATATACAGTATTAAATAACTAATAAATAGCGTATTTCAAAAAATTATTTTACGATCAATACAGTTTTATTTATAAAGTTCTTACTATTTAATATTAATTAAAATACGTTGCACAATTTTTAAATTTTAATTTTGTTATATAAACAAATGTTATTAATACATAATATACTTTTGCAAACAAAATAAAGGTAAGTCTTAACAAATGGTAATATGCTTGGACAGAGCTTAAAAAGCGATTATATTACTATGTACTCGTATAGTATTTTATAACAATCATACCCAATTCCGGTAATTTGCCGTAATTAATTGTCCAAATTTGCGGTTATATCTATCGACGTGGTAAAACAACTATAAATTATTTCTATAAAAATTATTCAACTACTCATTTACATGAATTTTAATATTGTTTTATATTATTTAGTTTAATTTTAAAATTTGAAATATATAGCTAATTTAGTTAATAATAAATTCGTCAAATATTAAAATTAATCTTGAAACATTTTACATTACTGTATTATTTACATTTTACATCTCTCTTTATCGGCATCACGTCACCTACTGGCATCATTAATTAACATTTCATTTCATCATGAATCTGTTTAAGCTCATTAATTGTCTTTTTCGTATTTGCACCTTCAATGATTTTGGTGATAAAAGTATCGCGCATCGTCTCAATTTCCACTAACTTGTCCTCAACAATCATAGGTCTCAACTTCTCTTTAAATTCATTCACCTTATTAACATCAATGGCCCCGAAACAATATGTTCCAAGTTTACAATAGTCGTAGTATTCCTTGGTTATAGTGTGAGTGCGTATATTCTCGATTATCTCAACTCGCTCATCCGCGGTATATCCTTCGCAATGTGTGACCACCATCATGGAGGTGTCGGCGTATGACGGGCCCAGATATGGCCATAGCTTTTTGAAAACCGGAACGTCCAAGCGATTGGTCTCTTTGGCCTTTGTCACGAAACACACTACGTTCAACCAGTTGATGTTATGCTCAATGCACCTTGACACGCATTTTAACACATCGTCGTCCGTTGGATTTTCATTATTTTCCCGTACCTGACCAAATCCAGGTGTGTCCACGATGTTAATCTGGTACGAGTAGTCAGTTTGTTCATCCGTCACAATGAGCGACTGCATATGTGGAACCTTGGTAATTGAGAAACCATTGCTATATGTGCCTTTCTGGGGATTTAGGAGTACTTCGACGATGGTACTTTTTCCGACTTGAGATCGCCCGATGAGTAGCACATTGATACATTTGGCGCGACTTGCGTTATAGGTACCGTAACCGAGCCGGCTGTTATTCGATGTTAAATACTTCGAGAAGTCGTTTTCAGGTATAGTAGGTGAAAAGTAACTATAATGTTTATGAGAACAATTTATTAGATTTTAATCTTTTAAAGAAATTATTAATCTAGTTACATTTAATGATTTTAAAATTTTAATAGTTAAATATTATAAGTAGTATATAAATATTTATAAACTCATTCATCACATTATAAATATAACTAACTTATGTATAAATTATAAGTTTTTTAAATTTAAATAAATTTATCTATAAACCTAATAGTTTTTAAGTTAAAAAAATTCCAAAATCTATTTAATATCATATAACCAATTCAAAAGCACTCAAATACAAATATCAATAAAACCTGTGTTTGATTTAAAAATAAACAGTCATTTTTAAATTAATTCCTATTTTTAATATTAAACAATCTATTAACTCGAAATATTATAAAGAACTAATTTTAAAAATCAAATCATTGTCAAATTATATTTATCGTTAATGGATATTAGAATTTTTGATTTAATCAACAAAAAAATATGCGTCCAAACCTATTCGGTGTGGTAGACCAACGCATTATATTTATAACGTAAGGCAAATATAATGAATCATCTATTGCTTTTAATATTTTTAATGTTAACTTATAATCTGGAAGAAGAATAAGATTTTCCTTTTCAATAGACCACTCGTTATATTTAGCCAACACTTCACTACATTCCGGCCTTTGTTGCCATAACGGTGCCGTTAACATCGATATGAGCATAGTTTGCAAACAATATATCGGACCACTTAATTTAGGATTTGTTGTGGAAATGTGTTGGGTGCTAAATTTATCAAAAGTTAGAAAATAACTATTACAATATAAATTTTATTTGATAAAAAATCATACTTGTCAGGGCCAAAATTTGAAAAATCAAACTCAATCTCAAATAATTGTGTACCGATTATCGCAAGACTATAAACATCGCATTTATGATTATAAATTAATCCCTGCTCTACCTCTGGAGCGACATATGGTATCGTCCCTCGATCTGCTGTGTGTTTATTTTTAGGTAACATATGAATGTTTTTGTCATGAAATTTAGCAAGACCAAAATCACATAACTTAACAAATCTGCCGTTTTTTCTATTGCAATCAATTAATATGTTTTCGGGTTTGAGGTCTCTGTGCATAATTTGTGGATTCAATTCATGCAAATACTGAACACATTCTAAGATCTCTCGGAATATTTCACACGAAATGAAATACTCGATACAATCCATAGGTTCTCCTAAGTGTCGACCAAAAACTTGTGGTTTAGTCTCTATAATATTCTTAAGATTTTTTGTCAAGCACTCCATTTGAATATAGAAATAGTCGCCATCTGGCCAAAAATCGTAATACTCGACCACATATTTTGAGCTCACTTTAGATAAACTGTTGATTTCGTTAAAAATTTGCTTATTTTTAACAATACTTTTATCTAGTTTAAAAACAGTTAATTAATTAACAGATAATTTGCGATCATATATTAGAAATCATAAAACACATTATTTGATATCTCATTATACAAAATATTTTTAATTTTCCTTTCAAATTTAAAGGCATTTAGTATTATACATTAGTATTATATATTAGTATTATAGTATTACACATTAGTATTATAGTATTATAGTATTAGGCATATAGTATTATACATTTTGTATCATTAATATGTTAATAATGAATTAATAAATTATATTTAACAACCTTCCAGCTTTATTTTTTTGATTGCATATATTTCGTCCGTGTACTTATGTTTAACCATAAATACGTTCCCGTAACTACCCTCACCAATCATCGATTCTTCAGTAAACATTGTTTCATATTTATTGCACATTATGATTATAGATATTAATATATTAATTTATCATATAAACAATAGAGTTGCTATTAAGGAATCACTTAAATGTTAAAATAGAAATAACCACAATTCTAATAATTATACAAATATTTTAAAAATTATGAATCTTAAATTTTAAAACAATCATTTTAAAAATACTAATTATTATAATAAATAGCTAAACAATTTGTATTACACTAAAATGGCGAGCATAGTTTATTATGCTTTATATTACTTTATTCTAGATTATTGCCATGCTTATTATCTGTGAGCTACGGTGCTTAGCTATGATAAAACAAAATAGCATAACAAAATAATATATTACACAATTTTGCTTAGGTTTAACTAAGGAACGTAACAATATTTTATTTAACTAGGGAGTCC